ATTCAAAGTATTTTTAATTAAAAGTTTTATTTTAAAAGTAAATTATTCATAAAATTGTTACTGTAGGTCTAAAATAGTAATATAATAACAGCTTTAGTCTAACCAAAAGTCTAACTCTTTAGAAATATCACTTGGACCGAGCCAATAGAATTTCAGTTTGCGTTATGTTATTATGCCAAGCATGCTTATTCATGTATCACAAAATGTTAAATTCTATCCACTATTTAAATAATTAGTATGAGTTCCTTTGTACAGTTCCGTTTTCTTAATTATTCATAACTATGCTGTATTTTTTTAATTCACAAGCTCGGCCGTGATGCAGACAGGGCCAAAGCTGCCTTGACAAGCACCACTGGAGAGAAGTCTGCCCTAGAGCGGGCCCGCTCTGGTCTACTGGAACAGTTGTCGCGGCTGCAATCTGATTTAGCACGAGCTGAGGCAGGCCAGGCTGATTCTGAACGTCGGCGTGTTGAGCTGACGGACCAGCTAGCAGAGGCACGTCGTGATTCTGAACGGGCCGCGCGTGAAGCTGAGCGGGCCGCCCGCTGTTCAGAGGCAGCGGAGGCACGATTGGCAGGACTCCGAGAAGAGGCAAATGGCTTGCGCGAGGCTGTGTCACGAAGTCGTTTAGAGTCAGAAGTGTCGGAAGCTGAGCGAGTGGATCTGAAAGAAGCTTATGCAAGATCGGAGGCCAGCAGAGCAGAAGCCGAGGCGGAATTAGCCAGACGGCGAGCGGAGGAAGCCAAGCTTCAAGAAGAGCTTGGTGGATGGCAGGTGAGATCAAGCAAGATTTCTAAAAGGTTAGAGGAGGGTAGCGCAAAGGCTATCAAAGAGAGGTTTTATGCAAAGATATTTTATTAAGCTTGATTTCTAAAATAAATGACTTTGGAATTCGAGTTTTATTGCAAAAGTGGTTCAGAGGATTAAAATTTATTGACTAGAACCTGAGTCCTTTGGGATTTTGTATTCTTCGAGTATGAGTATAATAAATTGTAAATGGTGAGTAGCGGAAATTGGTGGTAAAGCAGACATTTTTCTATGAAAATTATGAGATGATTACTTGGTTGAAGTTAGCTAGTTGTCACCAAGAAGACTAGTAAAGTGAGTGGAGAAAATACTTAGTATCTAGTGAGAGCTATGATTAAAGTGTCCGATTCTTTATCCTAACGCTAAAAGCGTTATTTTTTTAAAGTTAATTTTCTTCCAAGATTTTATAATATAAATCTTTAGGAATCGCTACATCTTTATTTCAAGTTATTGAACAAAAGGACGACAGTTACGACATTACCACATGTATTTCTGTAATCAGAAATTATAATTGCGTATTTTAAACAGGTAAACAGGCTTTTCTGTATTTTTCGTTAACTTTGTGTAAAGCATAACAGTTTGAAATGCATAATTCTAATGCTTCCTGATGTAAATAGGTTTCGAACATTTTGATATAAATGACTCAGGGTAACTAAGTTCTTATTCAACAATTAGTGATTTCCCTAAAGTCTACTAGCAACTAAAATAAGTACCTTCGTCGATTTAACTGACAAAAAATGTTTGCTTCATCAACATCCCCACTATGAATGTTATTAGAAGAGGCCTGACTTGCCCTAAAAGTCACATCCACCTAATTGCATTTGTGTATGTGTAGCTGAATGGTAACGTCGTCATTATTCTCCCATTGGGAGTGTTGATATAGCCTATGCGAGTTCAACATTTTAATCCATTTTTGATTAAAGAATCTTTCGAAAGTACAAAGGGAATTTGTTGGCATCATGAGGCTCGATTATTAATTCCTAGTACACCTTAAACGATCGAGGGTGGTAAAATTCATACTTCCGACTAATTGGTTTTAGGCTTTGTAATTCACGAGCAATGCATTCAGTTGACCTATTTTGCATTCAAAGATTTTTTCAAATAAGTAGCGCATATAGTCTTAAATAATCAATCCAAAAGAATTATTTTTACTTAGAAAATCAGATTTTAATATTTGAATTTATATTCCTATATTTATAAATATAAGTAGGATAGTAAAGATTTTTATTATATTTGAAAATCATTATGACACAACTTGCTTAAGTATTTAATCAGACTTTAAATAAATCAGTTTACTTCATTTTTTCATACACATAGCGTGCTATCTCCTTGATTTTTGTCGCAGTGTTTTCGGTGTGTGTAGACTATTTTTCACCAATAATTGAAATTTTGCCGTTTTTTGTTACTTTTTTAGCGCATTTCTTACATTATCCATATTATGCGTCTATATAGAGGAAAAACAGAACAATTATTATAAATGTATCATTGCAGTATTTTATAATAACTTTAAAAATAATTATTTGATTGTCCTTTCGTTCTCAACACTTTTTTACATTGAATAAACACTATATTTGTTGAAAGTTGTTTGATCTTGTTTTCGCAACTTGGTCACATTGGTAGGAAGACTTAGAGGAACGCACCTAGTCCGGAGTCCATTGTATGCATCATCATATCCAAAGTCGGACCGTGGACGTGGTACATTCCCAGACGTTTCGCCGGCATCGTCAGTGAGTTTCGCTATTCGTAGCGCCATAGTAAAGCTCGTCAAAGAGAAAAGTGAAGCCCATCCTTTGACCAAACGTGTGCTAAACAGTTGTTGTATCTCTTTTTCAGCCCTGGACTATTCACTTTTCCTATCTCCTCCTATCAAGCGGCCTTCATGAAAATCCTTCACACTCCAAGGTGTCGTTCTCACTCCCTTTACCCTTGTGCTGGGAATGTTGACCAGAGTCTGTCATATTGTTACGTAGTCCTTCCCTGGGTCCT